CGCATGCTCGCTTGACAGGACTTTCCTTTCTCTGCCACGGTAAATGATACGAGCCATACAGAACCAAATTACGTTTATGATTTACATAATTCAAAGGCAGGCTCGAAATCAAAGCCTTTCACTGAATCGTTTAGCATATTTGTTTAGCTGGCAGCTTCATGGGCCGCCTGTGTGAAGTCCCTTATTCATATTCATCTGTGTTTTCTGCTGACACACGCTGGAACGGGGCAGAGCCAGTGACAGTCACTCGCTCATTAACTGATTTTTTTATTTTTTATTTTTTTTGGGGTGGAGGCTGAAAGAGTTGTGGGTGGCCTGAAATGGGAGGAAAGTGCTTTCTTTATGCATCTACCTCTTCTTTCCATGGAGACCCAACGTCTCTGGTCATACTGAAGGTACAGCATCCAGCGTCTGTGGAGATCACACACACACACACACACACACACACACACACACACACACACACACACACACACACACACACACACACACACACACACACACACACACACACACACACGCACGCACACACACACACACACACACACACACACACACACACAGAGCGAACAGAAACCTAATCCAAAAATAAAAGTATGGTAGAGTTATTACCTTCAATCAGGAGCACATGTGAAGAAAGAGAAGACTGGACACTTGTTGCACTGAAAGTCTTGTAAAGTGCTGTGAAATAATTGAATTTTGTTCTTGCTGTTTTCTTTTGGAAACAATTTTATTTTTCATCAGAACCACTGAAGCTCTGGACTTCATTGTATTTCTTAGAGAGATGGGTTATGAGCTGCGGTTTTAAAAATAAAAGTGTAAAGACTAAAATTACATCCTAGAAAATCTGCACCTTTTTCCAGACATCTGGTGCACATCTAGTCCTAACCCCAAGCCTAATTCACCCATAATTTACCCTAAGAAAATCCTTGTACCCTAAAACAAGTCCACATTAAAGCTGCAATGTGTAGTTTTTACTGTTAATCTCCAAAAAAATATCCATCAAAATGTTGTTGAAAATGAATGAAATGATGCCCAGTTTTTGAAAATATATTAGCGACTTCGTAACATGTAACCATAAAAATCGGGTCTAAAATACATGGGAGCGAGTCTAAGGGTGTTTCTCAATGCCAAGGAACCTTGCCTTGGGGCGACGGTGGCACAGGAGTTAAGTGCTCGCCCCGTGATCGGAAGGTTGCAGGTTCGAGCCCCGCTCAGTCTGTCGCTGTCGTTGTGTCCTTGGGCAAGACACTTAACCCACCTTGCCTGCTGGTGGTGGTCGGAGGGACCGGTGGCGCCAGTGCTCGGCAGCCTCGCCTCTGTCAGTGCGCCCCAGGGCAGCTGTGGCCACATTGTCGCTCATCCCCACCAGTGTGTGAATGTGTGTGTGAATGGGTGAATGACTGATTGTGTTGTAAAGCGCCTTGAGGGGTTTCAGGACTCTAGAAGGCGCTATATCAAATACAGGCCATTTACCATTTACCAATTCCCTTGATGTCTTCGTCCCGCCCCGGTTGCCTAGGAGATACGTCATCAGGAACCGCCACGGCATGTTTCCAATGTTTATGTTCTATCAAGGCATCTGTTCACCGTTTGTTAGCCGTTTAGCTAGCTGAGCAAGGATAAACAGGAGGTTCCTTGTAGCCTAGCCTTGGTCAAACATTTCCCAGAATACAGCGCTGTATTTTGTAAGGGATGGCGGATCAGGAGTTGGCAGCTACTTTGGAGGCAAATGTCCAGTTTAAATCAGCAATTAATTGTAGTTATTGGGTTGATATCTAAAATGTTATTTTTATATCCAAAGCAGTTAGCTATGGTTGGTAAGTCGCTTAGTAGTTGTAGCTTTGGTGGCTAGCAGGTGCTAACTCACTTACATATTTAATTTAACCAATGTGCACACAATTAAAAAAGTAAAAGGTTCATTATATGTATAGAATATAACGTTACCTCACGTGTCACATGATGTGACGTGACCGCCGCGGAAGCCGCAGTCACTTGATGTCAGTCTGTTCCATTTAACTGTTTTCTTTGACCAAGGAAGGACAGCGTCCTCGTAGGCAAGGTGCAAGACATCGCCCTGCGAGGCCAGGCGCCTTGACATTGAACACCCTATGACTCTGGGCTATGCCATATTAGATGCCCTGTTTCCTTCTACAGGAGCCTGTGAGGACAAAAGGCATTTACTGATTTGGGTGGTTGATGAAGAGGTGGAGAAGAATGAATGACAAATTAGTCCGTGCTATAAAGTTTCTATTAGCACAATAGTAAATACGCTAATGTGGATCGGATACGTGAGTGTAATGGGCTCGACACACGGGAGGCGACATCGCCTCTCCTCCATTCATTTTCAATGAGACGTGTGACAAAGCGATAATCGCGGGTCTCCCTCCTACCAAACGAAACGCGAAAAACGTGCGTGTGAAATTTTGCACTCGTGCACGTGTCGTGCACAGGCGACCCAGCGACGCGATCCCAGAAAGTTGAAACATTTTCAACTTTTCATCGCTGTCGCTCGGACGACGACCAATCAACGGAGGTTTCATTCACTGACCAATGAGTGGACAGGATGCTCCGTACATCTCCGAGCAAACATGGAGGAGAAGTTGATTATTATTATGTTTTATAAAGTAAAATCAGAAGTAAGATTTCACATAACTCTAGCAGCACCTTGTGAAACATCATATCTACCGCTTTATTAACTCTGAACCGCTTAAATAACCTTAATTCCCTCCAACCTGACACAGCCAATCAAAACAACGGAAGTTTTGATTTCGCCATGGAACAGAACGCGTAGACGGCTTTGCCGCTGGCCGCTGCCGCGGATCGCCTCCCGTGTGTCAGGTAATAAAAGCGACAGCGACGAATTTCGCTGATCGCGGTCGTTTGTTGCTTCCCGTGTGTCGAGCCCATAATGGTGGCAGGCTACCACAGAAAAGCGCCACGCCCTCTGTTGTCCAGGTGGGGAATTGCTTTGCAAAATGTCTCTGTCTTGAGGATGCGTCTCTCCCTCTGATGGAGAAGTATAAATCAGGCGTTACTCGAACACTAAAATGCTGCTTGCTTGCAATGATTTAGGTATGTACCGCCCACTATCGACAGGGAAAATACACATCGTCACTTTATATATTAAATCAGTGCTGAGCTTGGACACACTCTCAATGATGCCTTCAAGTGGTGAAAACTCTGATCATTGACCCGAGTCAGGAAGATTTACCTAATCTCTGTCACCCTGGATGTTCCTCGTAACACATGACAAAAAGATGGGTGTGCTTATTTACCCAAACTGGACATTTTTAGTGCAGATGGCAAAGATGTTTCTATGGAAAACGCATCTGTAAGGCATCAGCCCTTAATGACTCTCACGAGGTCTTGTTTGTACTCATGAGAACATCTCAGACGCAGACACTTGGTGGTTTTAGTGACCCGTGCATTTTTCAGGTTTTCACAGTGAAACTCTAAAACACAACCAAAAGTCAGATTCCATCTTGACTTAATTTATGATCTGTTGATGTCTGTGAACTTCTTTCATTATTCAGATGTGTGTTCTTATAAAACAGAATGATACCTGACCACTATAAATCTGTTATTGTACGTGTGTGTGTGTGTGTGTGTGTGTGTGTGTGTGTGTGTGTGTGTTTTCGTTCTTTAACGTCTATTTGGTTTCATTTAGAAAAGCCTGTAGTTTTATGTATTTCACTGGTTTGTTAGTTTCCCTTTTTATTTCTTTGAAAGTGTGCGGGAACTCTTGAAAACACTCATAACAGGTTCAAAGTAAAGTTACATGATTTTATTTGAAAATAAAATTTTATATTTAGACCATGTTAGACTGTGATGTCAGAAAAACAAATTACTTATAAGTAAAAAATAAAATAAAATAAAAACCTCATTTGAAACATACTTTTGTGTACCTAAAAATAATAAACTCCCCAATAAAACATCTTGATGTTTTTGAATATTTGTAGACAACAACATAAGTATAATGTAAAACATGAGCTTTTTCAGCTCTTTTCTAGGTAAATTTAAATGCATGTGTCCTGATCATTGTTTGTCTTAAACAGAAATGCAGAAACCGATGACAAAAACCTCCCATCCACTGGTTCAGTAAATGCAGCATGATGTAGATTGCAACAGCAAATAATAACTACTCTAATTCAGATGTTATCAAACCAAAACAAAACGATAGTTGTGTCTTTTTGAGAGTTTCTGGGTGGAATCAGGAAGCGGATTTTCAGCTCTCAAGTGTAGAAACAAAAAGGGAGCATCACCTTTAACCCAGCAGGTTGTTGATCTTTCAGCAACGTCAAATAATTTAAAGGTAGACAAACTGAAAATGAAACATACTCAAACATACCATGTTAAACGTAACCGGTGGTGCCTAAATAACCCCCCCCCCCACTACAGACTTAGTTGTTTTGATATGAACTTTGACTTTTGCTAATTTGATGTAAAAGTTTAAAATTGTATATCGACCTGACGTCGTTAATAGATGAACTCAGAATATATGGAAGAATTTTGCTGACAAAAAAAAACAACAAAAACAAATTAAGTAATTTATCATAGCATAAACATTAGGCTATGGAAAAAAATCACATTGCTACAATATAGCTTTTTACATTATAAAACAACACAGTTCCACTTTTATTTTGTGGCAACAGTAGGCTTCCATATTAAGATTAAGGCTTTTTTTTTATTCATTTGCATAAATCTTATTCATATATGTATATCATATATATATATATATATGTATATATATATATATGTATATATATATGTATATACATATATATATACATATGTATATGTATATATATATATATATATATATATATATATATATATATATATATATATATATATATATATATATATATATATATGTATATACATATACATATGTATATATATATGTATATACATATATATATATACACATGTATACATCATTTTCACGAACTGAAACAGAATGCAACAAGCAGTAATTTTTCTCATGTGACCACTGATACAAAATACATTCTTTTTATTCATCCATCATTGTACACACTCAAATCAACGTAAAATATTCACACAAGTAACTTTTTTGTAGGATATACATCTTCATACCATTTACACGCCATTTACACGACATAAACTGGACTTAATGTTCTTTCATTTACGATCTGTATTTTTAAAAGTTTAAAGGAAGCATTCCCTCCATACGTATCTACACGTTTCATCCAATCCAATAGTCTTGTTCTCACTGTACCAGTTACGATTCATATGTTATTATATATACATAATATACATTGAATCTTAAATACATTGCTTTCAGTCTATTTACACATATAAGCTTGTTGACATTGCAGACGGCTACACAAAATAAGCACTCTATGCTTTTGAATCAAATGAATACCGCCAAAAAAGGACACGTGTGATATAATGAGTGATTGCTTGGAGGAACAGCACTGTTTTGACACAAAAAAAAAAACAAGCCAACATGCAGAACAAATTTGAATTCCATGTGAAGAAAGCACAACGTCATAAACAGGGCTCTGTGCCGTCGACTGCAGATATCAAGTTATTTGGAGCACTTTTCTAATCAGTCCTTCCACGTCTCCATTCTGACTGAAACAAAACTAAATTGTAGTTTCTTACATCCTTGGGTTTTGTTTTTTTGATTGGAAAAGCAGATCCGTTTTCTGTCTGGTCTCAGCACCGGTACGTCTGCAGCTGCAGCAGTCAGTTTGTAACTCATGCTTGCATCACAACCGATCGCAGCTGCTTCTGACAGATCAAATAAGGTTTCCGAGGCAAACACAATACTTAATCTCTGGTCTCTTGGCTGAAAACAAGGTCAAAAGCTCATGCAACCAGATGAAACTCATCAAATGTTCCTTTATTCTTTGGTTTATGAGCATTAGGTGTTAAATGTTTTCGCATTGACACCGAATGCAGCTGGTTTTAGGTAATTGCTCGAACAAAAAGTTAAGTCCCTGACAATTTTACATATAAAAATTACATATAACATCTATTAGGTGTCAAATCAAATGCTGGTAAAGAATGTAAACGTTATGGCTTTATATAGTTGATCTAAAATGGAAGGTTTTAGCTTAATTAAAGGCTGCTACATTTGTTGCCTCCAACTAGACAAACTCCACACTCACGTCTCTGTGGCTCCCTGAAAGTGTTTAATAAATTTATTTATCTAATATATTGTAACAAGTACAGCTTAGGCTCATTACTGTCTGGAAGCAGGGAGGAGTATGTGCGCATGTGTTTTTGAGAACGCGTGCTTAAGTTTGAGTGCAGGGATGGACCACTCACAGCAAAACACATCAGAACGTTTCCATTTGCTCTTTGCTCGCTGAGCTTGAACCCACGCAGTTCGTGTTCTGTCTCTGGTTAGTCTCTGTCTTTTGCTCCTTTTTCAACACAGCTACAACCCATTCTTTAAAAAAAAAAACAGAAGAAAAAACTTTCCGTGGCAGATGGAGACAGAGCCCTCGACGCCTATGGCAGCTGCCTCGGCTTCAGATCTTCTGGCACATGTGGAGCCTGGACTTGGAGGAGGAGGTGGCGTCTTTCCACACCTTGCAGGAGAGGCCCTTGGCGCAGTCGCAGCGCTGGAAGATTTCCAGGCCATGAGAGCCTTTCTTCCTCTGCTTGGTGCACACCTCTCCTTGCCTCAGCACTGGTTTGCAGATTTTTGTCCAGAAGTGTCGGGCACAGCAGTAGCCCTCTGAGCAATCAGAAGAGCGTAGGCAAGAATCACCCTCGTGACCTTGAAGAGGAAAGCAAAAAAACTAGTTACTCCAACTGCTTCAGCTTAAAAGCATCAAACTGTAATTCAGGGTATTCAGGGTAACGTTTGTTTTGTAGTGCTGAAACAAATAGTTTGGCTTTGCTGAAATATGTTTCTGTGTCACGCATATTAGTGACAAATATCAATCAATCAATCAATCAATACTTTATTAATCCCAGAGGGAAATTAGAGTTTCAGTACACACAATTCAGAGATCAGACATACATGGGCAAGACACACAACAAGAATTGGTGACTGTGGTCATTCGCAACTCTGAGTCGCGCTACCTTAATAGAGATCAGAGGGTTACATGAGGATTGGTTCAGGTGGAGGGAAAAAAGGCACTTCAGAGTTACCCTCCACCAGGAGGGCAGCTTTGCTCGGCAAAAAAACACCTCAAACAGATACACAACAGACTTCAGACAACACAACATAACATGAGCCTCCAATAGGAAGGCGGGGGGGGGGGATCCTGTTTCCCCCAGCGAGAGCAGCCATCTACGGCGCTCAGCTACTGTACAGTCACAGGTGGGAGGGAGATCTTTGGACAAGCGAAGAGCACATTGACTCCTCCAGCTGATGACCTCGCCAGGCTGAAGTCCACCAATCCGAAGGCGGCGGGGGGGGGGGTTCGCAGCATCTGTCTGCATTCATTCGTGGGGGTTTTAGTTGCTTGCAGCTCAAGGCTACCAGGGCGTCAGATTCGGATAACAAGAATTTGTTTGGGTCAGGCTGAGATAATTTTCCTCTCTGCCTTCAGTCTTTAAACTGATCATTTTCAGTCCTTCAGTGAAGCCAATTTTGGGTTTTAAGCTAGTCCCTACCGTCCGGTGACTCTCTACGAGATGACATCCATTTTGCGCACTAATACCGGCATCGCAGCTAGAACATTGTCCAGCTTACGATTCACCTCGAGTAACGTCCCAGTCTGAGAAGTCTACACACGGACGGTGCTTTCCGTGGGTGCGGGTCGCCCTCCAATCGCTCCCGTCTTCCCAAATTTCCAGAAAACCAGATATCCTCCCACTCCAATCAGGAGAAATCCAGCGATCATCAGGCTGAATATCCACATGTCTTCGATGTCCTCAATGGACAGCTGGCTGAGGCATATGATCTTCCACTCCTTCCAGTAATCCAAAATATGCCCCACCGGGTGTGTCCCCTGTGGACATGTGGGAGCCCCCTGCTCCGTTCTCATTGTTGAAAAAATCTTATCAATCGCATTGAATGACCAGTTTATCAATTCCATGGTTAGTAAAAAATAGAGTTTTTCAGAAGAAATGCAGAGAAGCGCTCTGTGGACAGACAGGACAAAGAGCCTTGGGGAAAAAAGATAAGGGAGCGAAAGACGGAAGCGTCTGTTCTCCTCGAGTGCCTGAAGAGAAGCCTGTTGTAGATGACCTCTGTTCAGAAAAATAATTTATGTTCTTCAGGACTGATGGGCTAACGGCTAGTCTGAAAGCAGCTCTAAAACACTTCAACTTTATCATATAAACCTTTAAACTGCCATCAGATTGGAATAGCTTTTATTTCTATGGAATTGTGGAGTTATTTATATTTAACATTTCCAGTGCATGCATGGGTTAAGTCCAGAAAAAATGTTTTCATGTTTCTACCAAAAACCCGAAACATGCTATACTAAATTGAGGACAGTTTAACGGTTTATTTAAAAATGCACGAACCACTGGGGAATTAGAAAAATAGAAGTTGTCATAAAAAGCAGCAATACTTTTTAATTATGACAAACTGTTAGCTCTTCAGTCCTGTAGGATATAAACTCTACGTCTCTTAAGAGAGGTCATTCTGAAAGTACAACAACATTTTATGTTTTAAAACTATTAAAGATGGGTTAAATATTATTTTAATTCGAAAAAATGGAAGGAGGTTTAGAATGTTCATGATCTTATGTTTCTATACTCTTGTGTTTTTGTAAGTTTTTTCTAATTATCTTCAACATGACAGAAACCTAAAATAATTAAAAAACATGATAAAGAAAACAGAAAAGTAACTGAATTACTCTCTGGATAAAACATATGGTCCAACCTCTTTAAATACCGTACGTTTGCAGTTGCAACAATTTAGTCATGCAAGTTGTATTCAACTCTTCTCATGCATGTGTCGCATATCTCCATGTGAACCCTATAAGCAATCACAAATGGAAGCAGTAAGTGTGATCTATTATTGATTTTTTTGCTTTTATATTTGATATAATCTGGGTACAAATCTCTCAAGCAGCAACTTGAGGCCTTTTGGGGTAGGCGGACATTAACTTAAATCAGCAATCTAGAGTTTTCCCCGTAACAGAAATTATGTATGATTTTTTTTTAGAAATCTGTAGAAGTGAAAGTCTTACCCTGTATTGTGATATAATGTGGACAATATGTACATTTTTATTCAGTTAATCCCCCATCCCATAGAGCCCCATGCAATTTGAATTGAGTGCTGCTCAACTTTAGCCAATAGCGTTAGACATCTGTTTACGTACGGATGTCAATCACAGACTGTGTGTGTGCATTTACCTGGACTGATGCAGAGTTGGCCACATTTTCAATGGATAGTTAAGTCTGGAGGTACTGTATCGTGCTACTTTACTTCTTCCAGAGCAACAGTAAGCACAATAAATGATTGTTTTTTTGTTGACAATATTGAGATGAAATTTTTCATGAAACATGTTATTTTTTGAGCCATTACTTCAACTCGGAAATAAGACTCTTGGATTCATCTCTCATGTGGATTCCACAACAGTACACAGCTCCAAACCTGGAGACTGCAGATTCATGCTGCCATGTCCCACCCCTGGACTAGAGACACCCTGGATGAGGAGGAGCGGGGCATGATGATGCTGCAACAACCCCAACCCCAGGCTTCAGCAGAGGGTTTGCAGCTGAGACTGTAAAATGTATGCTCATAGTCATAAACCACTTTTGGGTGGAAATAACAATATATGATGGTCACAAGCATAAAGTGGATTTTGCATGATCTAGGACCTTTAATATATATATATATATATATATATATATATTTTTTTTTTTTTTTTTTTGAATAAACAGCAAAACATGAGAATAGTAATTGCAAAACAATGTGTTTTAGCTCTGTTGTTCGGCTAAAGGTGCTCATTGACGAATGAGAGGCGTCGCTTACAGCCGTAATCATAGAAGTAGGGAGTAGGCTTAAGCCTGATTCATGCTTCTCCGTCTGCGTCAGTGCGGAGACACGCAACGCCATTATCCGTCCTTGCGTAGGACTTCGGCAGGCACGCAAGTACGTACGGAGTCGAGCCCACTTTTTTAAACATCCGTCGAACGAGACGGATTACGCAAGCTTGTGATTGGTCAGGACGCCGCTGTTCTTTACAGCGCCGCCATTGCAAAGAGAGCCGAGGATAATTAGCGGCAGACACGGAGAAGCTTGAAGAAAACCTCGCGAAAAAACTCTAAAAATATGAAAGTTTAATTACCCCGTGACTGGAGGAGTGAAAAGATGCGCAGCAAGCGTTTTATTTGTGGACGGAAATAACAGGAAACGTGGATTTAGAGGTGGGGAGCGCATGAAGCGGTGGGAGAATGAGAGACAAATATGTCCGTGTTAAAAGTCTCTTATATACACAAAAAACACAATATAAACACACGATCTTGGACCGATACATGACAGGATACCACAGAACAGCGCTACGCCCTCTGTTGTCCTGCCAGGGAATTGCTTTGCAACACTCTCCAGGAGACGGAGAAGTAAAAGAGCAAAACGCTTCCGTCAATCCGTGCGTGTCTGTCCCTTGCGGAGCTGACGGAGAAGCATAAACCAGGCTTTAGATGGTGCTCTTTGAGAAAATACTCTAGATTTCTGTTTTAAATCAGATTACAGGAATTTATCAGTATCAGCAGGTGAAATCTGCATTTTGTGGGTTTTTCAGTTAAACTGTTTAAGCTCCAAATAGAAACCCTGTGGTTTCCTCTCAGGTTCTCTGTGCTGTGACAAATGACCGCAGAGCCAATTATCAACATAGTTTGTGGACTGGCATCGTTCATGAACGTTTTTGAGACAGGCAGAAAAAGAACAGCCACGTTTAACAGATGATAGGAGAGAATAATGTTTCTTTGTTATAGTGTTAGGTAGAGTCTCACCTTTCACTGGTACCTTCCCTTTTCTCCTCCAGCTGTGGTCTTTGGTGGATTGTACGTTGTGGTCATCCAACGGTGAGATGTGAGGTGAAAGCACGCTCTCAGAGATGGAGACACAAATATCTGAAAAAACGAAATAAAGATTAGAAAAGCTTGGAGTTGGATGAGATCACTTTCACTGGATTTGGACTGCAGGAGTCGTGGGATTTTCTTTTAAAGTCATACTTTAAACTTTTCATATTTTTCGACGTTTTCTTGAACCAGTATTTGGTAAAATGACCCTTTACAGGGTTAATGAAATGTCATCCCGACCCCTAATGCCCTTTTTTCCAGAACACCACACTTGCAACTTCAGAGTGCAGTGTCGGTACAGGATCTGCTCGGGTGCAAGATCGGCTCGGGGTCCTTCGATTGCCGATGACGTCAAAGTACGGCAAATGTTAACGTGATAACAACATAACGTGATTACATAACTTCCGTAAGGTTCATGTTCAGCCAATCAACTACTTTGACGTCATCGGCAGTCGAAGGACCCCGAGCCGATCTTGCACCCGAGCAGATCCTGTACCGACGCAGGTCTGGCCCCTGTTGTACTTAAGAGTGGAGCTGACATGGCGGAAGCTGGAGTCTGATTCCAACACATTTCCTGTATGTTTTAGATCATGAGCTCAGCTGATTCATTGGATTTAGTGATGAACCGCTCCCGTTGAAATTAATGAAGACTGAGGAGATATTTCAGCTGTTAGATTAAGGTGTTAAAAAGATGCACACACAGCGAGGAGATGTTTCCTGAACATGTTTGAATTTGGCCCTCTTTTATGTTGATTTTATCTCACAGTTTTCATTGGTTCAATTTTTCCCTTGTTTTACACATTTGTCTTCTACTAGAATGTTTCACCTTTTTTGTAATTTGTAATCTGTAATTTGAATTGCTTTTATTTTCTGATTTATTCACTTTATTTAACTTTGTACTGTAGTGTTCAGCACCTTGGGCTTCCTGACAGGGTTGCGGAAGACGCTTTATAAACAAAGCTTTGATTTGATTGATTGATTTGAGATAAGTCTCACTTTTGCTTTCACAAGCAAAACTGTCATGATCTGCGTCTGCCCCTTCCCTCATGTGTCTCCTTGTGTTACCCATCCATCTCTAGGTTCTCCTGTTGTGTATCCTAGCACCCTCTTGTGTCATTGTCTACGTCTTCCTCATGTGTTCCCAGAGCTGCAGCCCCTTTAGTTTTCCCCCCCCCCCAGGTATCTCCCTCCAGGTCCTGTGCTCCCCGTGGTCCTCCTTAGTCACGCCCCTCGCTAAAAGCGAGCCAGAACTGCCTAGTATCCCTTTTATAATGCCTTGAGGTGCACCAGGGACACGTTTATCACATAACTGTGGCGTTTTGAAGAATACGGAATCTTTTAGAGCAGAGGTGCCAGCACCACATGTCAGATCTGTAGAGTAGTCATTTCCAATTGAACATTCTCATTTTCTGTAATAGATTCTGGAGGAAAATTCAGCAATGTGTAGTGGGTTTCCTGAAAGAAACCACACCTAAAACTATAATTATTTTACCATTTTTACATTCTAAAGTCTAATTAAAAATGTTCTCACCTCAGTGCAACCGCGCAACGAAAACTATCAGATCTTGAGTGAAAACATTCCCTTCCTAATTTGCATTTATTAAGTGTTTAGTCTGTGCAGTGTTCTGCCCTCCAGATGGCCCCAACGCAAGAAGAGCTGTTGGTTTTTCAGTTTAAACCTTAAAGGAAAATGGAAAACCCTGACTGAGCCACTTTTGTCATTAAAAAAAACATCAGGGACTTTTTGTCAGCCAAACAAAGAACAATGTCAGCACGCTCCCAGACTAATCATTGGTGGTGAAACAATACGAAACATGTGATCACTGATTCCTCATCTCTGGTCCTCAATTTAAACGCAGTTCAAATTTAGTTCAGTCTGTGTTCAGTTTGTGTTCGTTGTCATTTCAGCGTGTGGGTCTAGAACCTTAGGAGTGTGTCTAATCTCAGATGTTTCATAAAATTCACAGATAACCAAATTTAACAAAGTTGCCAGTAAAAATCTATGGAGTGGAGCATGTGTGTGTGCATGTGTGTGCGCGCGTGCAAACACGTACAGTTCCTGCAGCGGTTCCCGGGGCAGCACATGGCATCTCGGTGGCAGCGCTTCTTCCTCCGGCGGCAGGTGAGGCAGCGCGATGGAGCCTGCTGAGGGCTGTGGCAGTAGCTGCCCACGCTGCACTCCTTGTCATTACTGCATGGATACACCTGCTGAGACAAGCAAGCAAATGGAAATGACTATATTTACTTTCCATATCAGAATTTTTATTCTAGAAAACACGTGGACCAAGTTCCGCGTCAGGATTCATGACTAATGCAGCTAGAAAACGCCTTAATGGATCAGAATTGTTAATCACAACGTTTTAAGTCGTAAAAGGGGTTGAAACTGCATCGTTAAATTTGTTTGACACATTTTCTAAAGTCTAATTTTCTAAAAACTTATTGCAGTGTGTTGACACCAACAGAAATGTCATGTAGGTCTTATAGCCTAGTATTAGTGTGATCTTTGAGAGGTGATCATGTTTTCCCCAAACATTGATTGTTTTTGTCGGTCACACATTAAAGCTGCAATCCCAAGTCTTCCTTCTTTCAGGAATCATGCATGATTTTCTAAAAATCCACAAAAGGGATAGTCTTACCTTGTACTGTGATAATATAGGCAACACTTGATTTGTTTTATTGCTAAGCCAGCACCTATCCCGTTGAGCCCCAGGCAACTTACATTGAGAACCACTCAGCATTATCCAGTTGTTGCGTTTTGTTTTACTTCTTTGGAGTTCTGTGACTCTGAGCTATAATTCAGGAAAGATTTCAGTGACTGGACACATTATTTCTCCATCAGAAATTAAAGCTGTTACAGAAAAGTGGAAATGTAACTCAAATTATTGGGGATTTTCTAAAATTTAAATATTTTTTCCAAACGAAAACAATGAGACGAGGCTGAAGGACACATTTTTGCAGGATCTCCTAATCCTGACTATTACTAGATCAGGGTGAAGCAATAAACACTTTTAGATCACCTGAAATGTTATGTGTTTGGCAGACGCTTTTGTCTAAAGTGACTTACTGATGAGGATGGAAAAAAATTTGCTAGAAGAAAGAACAAAAGTCAAGCTCTGTTAGAGGTGACTTGAGTGACAAAAAGTATAGAAGCAAGTGCAGAAACTGTAGAACAGGGTAAGTAAGGAAATGTTTTAGGCACCCTTTTGAAAGACACTATTTAAGCCCACTATCCAATTGTTGGATTCTAATTAACAAAAAGGAAGAGGGCTAAGAGCATATCCATGAGGAACTCCAGGTTTAAATAAAATGTATTTAATTTTTTGTTTGTTTCTATTAGTGTTTTAAAAATTCTCATCTTATTAAGTTCAAATATAATGAAATATCTACTTTGTCACTTTTGGGTCAGCAGGAGCTCAGGAGGTACAGCGGGTTGTCCAGTAATCAGATGGTTGCAGGTTTGATCCCGGCTCTGACCAGAGAATGCTACTGTCCTTGGGCAAGACACTTAACCCACCTTGAGCGCTGGTGGTGGTCGGTGGGACTGGTGTAGCCACTAACACACACACACACACACACACACACACACACACACACACACACACACACACACACACACACACACACACACAAGCTCACAACAGCATTGTGACATCATATGGTACCAGCTGATGTCATATATCATATCTTAGCCAATAACGATGGAAGATTTAAATTCAAACGCTGTGCAGAGTTTTTACCTGAAGCGGGCGCAACACTGACAGTTTTAGGCCGAGAATGAAAAATTTAACTAAGGTACACTAAAGTACAAAATGATTGACTGCATGTGTCTACAGCATGATTAGACACTCATTTTATAGTTTATCAGCAAAAATAGGTTGATTTGGGGGTGATTTGCTCTTTAAGGATACATTACAAACCTTTACAGAATTCATTTTAGACTTATAAACACAACTCAAGTGTAAAAGTTAGACTGTAATTTTTGCATACAAATCCAAATATTACACAATAACTTCTAATAGTTTTTTTTAACAAATATTGTTGCTAGGGAATTATGAGTGTAGTAGTTTGAGGAGTCGAGCTTAACGGTCCGTTAGAGTCCAGTTTTGTGTTGTTTCAGTTTATAATGTCAACATTTCTCTTTTTGGAAAGTGAGTTGCTCTTTACCAGAACTTTGGAGTCATCACGAACGTAAAAAGTTAAAACAAATAGCCACTGCTAAACTAAATGCCTTTTACTCTCATTCTGATAACTGAAAGCCACAATTTCAATTCATCCCAGTTCCCTCCAAGTGCTCCGAGCTTTAATGAGCTATAACTGAGGGGTAATTTTGTAGGTAATCATGCTCCTTCCTAGCAAAGTTGGCTAGAGTTTTGTTTTAGCTTTCAAAACAACACTGCAGAATGAAAAAAATACTGTGCTGCTCAACAAAACACAAACCATTTAAAACACCTAGCAAACCTGAGATCCACTGTCCCCAACAAGAAGGGGCGACTAACTCCTTTTTTCCATAAATGCTGAAGGTTCTTATTGGACCTTTTTATGTTCACAAGTTGTCCACAAACAAAGAGCTACTTGTGCATCCAATAAGTGCTAAACAAACAGGAAATGAAAACTGGCGGTGTAAATTATGCTCCTTTGTAGCGACATTAGAACAGCATGTTTGGTTGCCACACCAGCAGCAGCAGCAGCACATCCACATTCAGCTGGCACAGTGTTGACAGACCTGATTTAGTGTGGCTTACCACTGACAAACAGCAAGCGGTCAGCATGTGAGCAAGTGGGGAGAGTCTGAATGATATCTGGCTGAAATAACTGCATCCACCATGGATTTAAATAATAATAAACCTCCACTGAAAAAAAGGCATAATTTGAGGCTCCATACCACAGTTTAAATCAACAACATCAACATTTCAGCGTGGTATAATTTTCAACTCGTGTGCAACGAGCTTTAGAAAATTAAAAAGATTAGTGGTGTTGGACGGTTGCCGATCGGAGTTTTTTCTCATGCCTGGAACACATGGAGCAGACGTATAGAATGAATTAGCTGCAATATTAACATGAACGCTCATTCATCATTATGACGGACTGCAAAAGTGCAGATGTTCAATGGGCTGATGAAAGCAACAAATATTTTAACCCAAACCATGACGCTGAAAGGAAATTCAACGTTTTCACTGAAAAACTGACAGGGGAACGAGAGAAGTGACTTCAGTGTAAATCAGCACCTCTAAAGGTTTAATTACATGTAATCTAAACGATTATGCCATGAAGAAGTGGATGTCTTAAGTTGCGTTCTGCTAAGAAACATAAGAAGTCAAACTTCCCAGCTGTGCCACATCAATACAAAGTACAACCCTCCTCAGAACCACAAGCTGCCATTTTCTATTCGTATTTGTGCGCGGGCTAAACACCAACAATTAGATTTAGAGACTCCTGAGATTTGGAAAAACAGAAGTGGACGTCCCCACTGCCTCCTGTCATCACAATAATCACCTCCTGGCTCCAACTACAGACACGACGCTCTACATCCTATAAAATTAGTCACATAGGCCTCTTAATGAAAATTATCTCTGTAACTTAATACGACCTCCAGTTCTGTCAAACTGGAATTTCAAAGATCAAAAGTTCACTTCAAAGCTTTAATGCAATCAGTTTATTTAAACAGCTTCAAAAAGCATTTGCCCCCTCGCAGACTTTTCTTGTCGTTGTAAGGCTCGACTGTTTCATGTCAGCAAATTTCTAAATGAAGATTTTATTTACCAGGGGATCCCAAAACTATTCAAGCCAGCCTGGCTGGATATGCCAAACGTAATTGGGTCAAAAAGGGTGTCAACAACTACAATCTAACATTCATGATGACTGCTCATGAGTCTTCCACGTTGTCTTAGAGGAATTTTTGTCACACTCTTCTTATTAAAAGTGTTTTAAAGTTAAAGTCCCATTAGTCATCATCATACACTGGTGAAATGACCTCCCTGCATGCTTGTGGAGAGCAGTGAGCTGCAGCTGTGGCTGCACTCGGGAACTATTTGGTGGTTTAACCCCCCGATCCTTCCCCTAAAGCTGAGTGTCAAGCACAGAGGCCTTGGGTCCCTTTTTTTTTTTTTTACTTGGGTATGACCCGGCCAGGATTTGAACTCCAATCTCCTCATCTAAGGGCGAACACTCCACTGCTAGGCCACTGAGAAGTCAGCAGCATTGATGAGGTTTCCTAGCCTGGCAAGCCATCCCATATAATTATTGAGTCTGGCCATGACCCATAGACAGAGCTCGTGGTGAGGTGGGATCTACGGTTGTCTTTCAAATAGCCTCTGCACACAACTGGACAGCGCTACGACCAATCAGAGCAAAAATGTGATGTTTGTATCTCTACAGAAATCAGTCAATGGGACAGTACGCCATACACCATTATTCAAAGGCCTGGACACACCACTGGCTTCAATCAAGCACTGTTCTTAAGCCGATGCCATCTTTGTAGTTTTTCTCCACTGCAGCTCTGGAGCTAAGCCTCCAAACATCTTTCTACAAACATAAAGTGATATAATTAGCCCAACCTAATATTTTCGGGCCGCTGGTTGACCTGCTAAGGCTACAATGGAGCGTGGCTAGACCGACTTGATGCTGCTAAGGTTCCTTTAGATTCCTAGGTTTTCCAGCATGTTCCAGATGTTTAAGGTTAAAAATCAGACTTGTTTATCAGGATGTTCTGGCACAGAGCGGGATTCATGGTTCCATAAATGATCAATCACATTCAAAAGCAATACTCATCATAAAATAAACTACACATGCATAACAGTTGAGTGTCGGTGTGGTTTCTGTAGAACAGAGCTTAAAGAGCAAGTCCCCATCCCCCCCACCAGGGTATTACTCCACTCCCACTTCCTGTTTGAAAAATGCAACAAATGCTGTTGCCTAGCAGACTGAGAGGGTGGAGCCGCTAACAAACACACACACACACACACACACACACACACACACACACACACACACACACACACACACACACACACACACACACACACACACACACACAGGCTCACAACAACATTGTGACATCATATGGTACCAGCTAACTTCCTAGGGTACCTCTTAGCCAATAGCGATGGCAGATTTAAATTCAAATGTGGTGCAGAGTTTTTACCTGACAACGACACAACACTGACAGTTCTAGGCAGAAAATTAAAATTTTAACTAAAATGCTCTAAAGT